CACCTTCAGTCGTTGAAAGCGGGCACTAAAAAAACGCACCTTCAGCCGGAGCCACCAATCGATGAAAGCGTCCGTGAGTTCGCCGAGGGAGGGGAAAATCGTCGAGCATTTCACCGTGAGAAATTTGGGGAAATGGAAAAATCGCCGACGGCAGTTCGCCGTCGCTGTGAGAAAGCAGTTCAAGGGCCGTGAAATTTGGGGAAGCAGTTCGCCCATAGCCAGGATTCAAATTTATCTGGGCTGGCTAATACACTTAGTTGGTATTGCAAAATTAATATTGTCTATTTTTCATGATAATTATTTTAATAATTTTTTTATTATTATTTCAAAATACCATTTAATTATTAATTAATTTATATATTTGTGTTGTTGTTTATTTAGGAAGATAGCACAAGTTTAAGTGTTGAAAAAGATCGACATGTTATTTATTTATTTATTTATTTAATAGAATATCTTAAGGATATACACATTTAAGATTTTTAAAGATTTTTTAATATTTTAAAAATTTTGTGTAATTATATTGAGATATTGAAATTTTTAAAAGCTGTGAGAGAATTAATTTATTTAACACTGAAATTCATTAAGATTTTTTAAGATTTAATGAAGATTCGAATACAAATTATATATGTCAAATCTTACTATCAAATCCCATCTTTGAACTTAAAATTTTTTAATAAGAATTTCACCAATTAAATAATTTTTTAAAAGTTTTGGATTTAAAAATGACTTAAAATATCACTCCAAATCTCAAAATGACTTAAAATATTACATTATTTATCTTATTCAGTATGTATACTTGTTCGATAAGAATTATATAGACATTATATAATTACCAATTATATTGAATCACATCATTTTATTTCAACTTTTCAAAGGAAAAATAAATTTGAAAATTATATTTTCATATCAAATTTATTTATAATTTTATTATTATTATTATTATTATTATTATTATTATTATTATTATTATTATTATTATTATTATTATTAATTAAAAAACACACCATAGTTGTTATTTCTTCAAAAAAGAAGTTTCAAATCAAAGTTGTATGATTGGAAGTTCCTAAATATTCATATTACTTGTTAAAAGTGATTAAATTTTACTTTCTTATTGTCGTTAACGAAAATAAAATTAAAAAAAATTGTTAATAAAGTGAAATCTTTTAATTGAGATTCAAAAGATGTGCACATTAGTAAGAGAAATTTTTCAAATTTAATTAGACTAAATCAAACCAAAAGTAAGATATAAATATATTAATACTTGTTCCAATTTTTTTAGGTAGGGCTAAGCCCACCTAAGCCTCTACATAGCTACGCCCCTGAGTTCGCCGTAGCTGGGAGAAAATTGGGGAAAGGTGAAAATTTGAAAAAGAGGTAAAATGAAAGCACGGGCGGGCTGGTGAATGAAAAGAGAAAAAATTGAAAAAATTGTGTCTAAGGGCAATTAAGTATTTTTGCAAGCCAAAATGACTATATTTCATTGTTTTGAAAAAGTTGGCCATTATTCATTTTTTCATTTGTTTAAAGGCTATAAGGGGCATTACAAAGACCAGCTACTCAGCCGAATAAACAGCCAATAGCCGAACAAGCTGAATAGCTAACTCTATTAGAGAGGACTACACGTACTGCAGCCTAGAGTCAACATACAACACCAAACACAACTAAAATCTCCTAAAAGGAGAATAAACAAAAGCTCCCAACAGGAGAATACACCAAACACACTTCCAACGGGAGAGAACAAGAAAAAACACAAAGGAAACAACACAACAAGAACAACACACCTAAACAACAAAAACTAAACAAAACAGTACTTAACCATAGTCCTCCTCTTCAGTCAAACAAAGCTCTAATCTACCAATACAAGCCAGAAACCTGGCCAAAGTAACCAAAGCGAGTAAGATAACAGTCCAGGAAACGGATTTCGAAACTTTCTTCTCCTAAAAGAGCTGGCTAACTACACCCATCTAACTCTCGAGCCAAGCCTCACACCCTTCGGTTCCCGACCAAGCAAGCACACGAAGGTCGTCTTCTCATCCGACCCCATCCACACCTCAGCCACCTCAGACAAGACGCCCAGGTCACCAAGCCCCGCCCAACTCCCAACCCTAGAGTAGCCGAATGAGGAAAACAGAGGACGACGAGGCAACGGCCCAAGCCCATCCTCAACCCACGGACAAACCCGACCTCCCTCTCCACTCCAACAAGCAGCCAAGCAAGCCCCGCCGCCGCCATGGTATAAGAAAGGCGACTTGAAGAATCGACATCCCGTGGCCATACAGAGGAGAGAGGGAAACCCCGATGCCCTTCCACCTCGGCTGTAGACGAAACCTATGACTGAAGAGGAGGCGGCGGCCAAATTGACGTGCGAGGGTTTTGTTGAGGGGAAAAGAGGGAAAAATTGAGCGAGGGGAGTATGTGTTTAACATGGTGTTAGAAATTAGAAAGTGTGTTCAATATTGTCAACATTAAATGACATCCATCTTGGCTATTAACATAGCGCCTAATGAAAAACCCAGAACAGGACAGGAGGTTACTGCACGCAGCAATCGTTACAACAACGATAGCGCGTTAATGACCAAAGACTTTCTCGCGAGCCTGCACATATAGAAAGGGCTGGTTCCTTTTTCATTTAGGCGATATCGAACCCTGTTAAGGAGCTTTTTCGGTTGAAATCTCAAGTTTGAGGCATTATAGAAAAAATTAGTAACACACTTTCAAAAATTGATGATATGGATGACTTTTTATAATGTCAAAAGTCACATTGGAGACGCTCATAAACCAAAAGCAACATAAATAACTCATAACACACTATTAAAAGTAACCCGAGGGGCCTAAACGGCCGCAACACATCCACAAGCTCCCAATAGGTGAATACAACTCCCAAAAGGAGAATAAACACCACAAAATACCCAAATAAACTAAAAAAACACAAAGGAAAATACTAGAATAAACCCTCGCCACCGGCTAACCGGTAACCCCAACCCCAAGACATTGACATCGAGCACGAAGCAAGAAACTCCAGACGAAGCCGGCTAACCAGAACCCGCCGGAACATCACCTACCCTTCCAACAGCAAGCACCGTCGAAAAATTCGGGCGTCTCACTGCAAAATGCGCCCACACAAACACCGGAGACCACAGCCCCCCTTCCCCTTCCAGATCGGATGTTGCCGCTGCCGATGAAGCCCACCGATCCCCACACAGAGACCGACCGAACCAAGGCACGAGCTTGCTGTGAAAGAACCCGACCCCAAAAGGTTGTCCAAAACAGCGGGCTTGGAGCCGGCGGCCATGGAAAGCCATCGACTCGCTGGGCACCCCCAACCGCTGCCAAACCACCGGGAACTCAGAGAGACGGCCCATCCAGCCGCCAATCCACCACGGCCGACCCGAATCGAGCTGAAATAGCCGGAAAAACGCCGACAGGAGGGTGCCGCTGAAGCAAATTTGAAACCGCAGAGTTGAGAGAAAAGGGGTCTTCGGCCGAAGAGAGAGAGTTATCTTAAACAGGGATTTTAAATACTAAATCAATGAGTTACTCATGAGGCAAGGAAGAGAACAAGAGCTTATTTGTTAACTACCATAACTACTTTATAGTTTATTAACTTTATTTTTAAGTTTATAATTTCATGTTGTATTTAAATAAGATTAATTTAGTAGGACGAGTTTTTGAAAAAAAATCTAACTAAACTCATAAACTTATTTGTTTAACTTTTCAAATAAGGCCGTTAAATTTTTTATTTTAGGTGGATTATCAATTAATTTTAGCAATACCAAATCAACTATTTTCAATCCTAAGCACTCAGATATAAGTTTATCAACTACTTTATAAGTTTTTCAATCCTAAGCACACCAATTTGGTATTTTCAATACCAATTAACTAATTTATCATCTATCAACTACCTTATTATTTAAGTTTATCAAACATAATATATCGAAGTGTTAATGACCTGGGGACCATGTTTTTAATAAAAGCATGCAATATACATAAACGCTATCAGAATCCATCGAATATAATCAATTGGTATGTGCCTCAAATCTGGTTAGATAACATTTAAAAGTAATGGGGAATAGCAATAATTAGTTTTGTATATCTTGTAAATGAAAAAATAAACAAAAGAAATTAATTTTTGTGAAAAGAATTATATCGGAAAATGCAGGCATGCGAACAAATGCGGTGCATCTTATCCACCAACTGGGGTGAGCATCAGAACGTCAAGCATCTCAACTCGCTTTCAAGAGTCTTAATGACAATTTAGTAACAAATATACAACGGCCTTCAATACACGTCAAGCATCACAACTCACTTTCAAGAGTTTTATTGAAAATTTAATAACAAATTTACAACGGCCTTCAATACAATATTTTCCTCCTTTTCCTCTAACATTTTAGTAAAACTCACTATAACAAAATGATAAAATTCCAACGGAAAATTCCATTACAAATACCTTGTAATGGAATTTCAACGAAAAATCCAACAAAAATATTACGTTGGAATGAGTTTTCCATTAGAATTTCTGTGGGATTTTAGCGATTTCAACGAAAGCTATACCATTGGAATATCCGTTGGAATTTCTATTGGAATATATTACCGTAGGATTTTCCGTTGGAATATAATAATTTTTTTGTAGTGACATTAGATCGAATAATCTAATGGCTAAAAAAAAGTCAAAATTATACTTTCATTACAGTAATGTGGTAAATTTCCTAATCAATATAGTGGGACCCAATACAACACAAATCCACTCACACGTGGGCCCTACCCCCAAACACCTCAACAACTTTCTCTCTCCTCTCACCAGGTTTGAATTAAATACACCTTTTCTCTCTCTCACACACTCTAACACACACAAAACACTTTCTCTCTCTCACATACACACACCCCAACACATCTCTCTCTCTCTCCAAGCCCCACTGTCGTCGGCGACGCTTCTTCTGCCAACTCCCGCCGCCGACACTTCACGACCAACAACACAAGGCTCACTAGCTCGGCCACGGCCGACTTTCGCCTTCGACAGTCACCGACGCCATTCCGGTCACCATTTTCGTAGCCGATTCTCACCGGCTAAACTTCCGACACCATGCCCGCCTAACAGAAGGTCAGAGTTTCGTCATTCTACTACGTCCAGAGGGCTGACAACGCCGACGAGCCTGCACCTGACGGCCGGTGCCGCAGCGTCGACACATTCCGCCGCCGCGCCTCCCATCGTCGTCGCTGCTCGCAGCGTTTCGAACGCTGTCGCATTATCCTCATCCGCCAGTCTCCGTCGTATATCAAGTCACCTCCGTGCGACTCCATGGCTGGTTCCTTTGCCATGAAAAATTGGGACGAGATCGACGAAAATCACACTAGACGCGCATAAATTCGTAAATAAAGTTGATGCGTGGTGATGGTGGTGGTGTAGCTGGGCTGGGGGCTGCCAGTCTATGTATTGCTCTAAGGTTGACGGGGGCAAAAAATTAGGATATGAAGTTAGGGATTGATATTGAAAATTAGATAACTATAAAGGACCTATTTGCAATTTCTTAAATTTTGATTATTTTCAAGTTAACATTTGGGCCAAATCTATAATTTAACATGCATAAATAAATAAATAAATAATTGACATAATAAATTTAAATAAATAAATCCACTATTATGGTCATTAATTATTGAGTCTCCTTAAACAAGGAAACCTTATCAGTTTTTTTTATTGTCCAACTGGAACTCCCACTGCAGTTGAATCCTAATAGATATTGTACTGCTTGTCAAACAAGAAAACCGTCTACCACCAGTTGCGGCCCGCCAGACCGCCGCCGCCGGTTGGCCGAAAAAACTCGCCGGGAATTTTCTTTTTCTCGCACGGGTCACACGACTCCCAATCGGGCCCTCCACGGCCCGCAACTGCCGGCTCCACCTCCACCTTGCTCGGCCGCGGCCCCGGCGGCAAAAACCGCCAATCGCGCGAGCTGAGCTGCGGTGGTCCGCTGGCGGTTGTTCGGGCCCGGTTCCAACCAGGTCTTCGAGGTTTGTTAATCCTTGTGATCTCTCGGTCATCAACCCACGATCACAACACGAAATATAAAATATACAATTACATAATTCGATCCTAGATCCAACGAATGGATTTACATGTTTGTCTAAACAAATAATTAATTCTATCCGGTCAACTCCCGGGCTCATAATTATTACAAACATTCATCCATTAAAATCCTCGACATGTCCGAGATTTTAAAAACAAATTAAAACCATTCATCACAATCAACAACATTCATCAAGCACATATACGACCATAATATTGGATTAAACTAATTCTTGTAAAACCAAGTTATGCGAATATAATCCAATATATATGGCTGTGGTTGAACACATCTTGTCAAATAAAGCCATAAAAATTCGAACTTTGTACAAAACGAATTAACCAAGTGCTCTGATACCACTTGTTGGGATCTATGAGGATCTCGTTATGTACAAGTCACGAATTCAATAGCAAACGTAAACCTATGCGCAACGGATCTAAAGGTTTGACGTAGAAAACTTACGGCATAAAATTTTCTGAATCTGTCGGATTCGGGATGACCGAGAACAACACGTCACGGGATGCCGGGATCACACAATCGGAGCGAGATCGGCGGCGTCAGGTGGCGGACTGTGGTGGCCGCCGGTCGTGTCGCGCGGGGTGGCCGGTCGCGGCGGTGCTTCGGCTCGTCACGGCGGTCGTCCGGCGGGCTGGGGTCGGCGGATCTGAAGGCCGAGGTTCGTCGGCTCTGGTAGATGATCACAATGTCTCGATTACCTTCGGGATCTTGTATTGTATCACTCTTACACTTCTTCAACTCGTATTGATGGAGCAACAAGAAGAAGATAAAGCTCGAATGAGATCTATAGAGAGAAGATGGAGTGGAACGTTTTCACGTGTATAATGATATGTTATGTTCTCTTCTCATGAGTTTAATGATGTATATATAGAGCTACAGTACAGATCCTTAGGAGAATAGGAATAGGGATTCTTAAGTAATGGACTAACTGTGGGCCAGGCTCACTCCTCCAATTACATAAATAATATTACGGTCCACTAACGTAATATTATTGCACTCCATTTTCCTAGCCCAAGTTACATTTGAGACTCCAACAATAATTACCCAAATGACCTCCCCATGTTTAAGATATAATGTCTATTAATTAATTCGATTACTGAAAATCAAGAATTAATTAATATATTTTATTACCAAAGCTAGCGCTCGTTCATCACATTATTATTATACCGGAACTTAATCCACCAGCAGGGTTTAGCATAACAATCCTTCATGAACTCACTTCGGGGACATCATCAACCTAACGCACATGGTGACCGTAAATATCCTAACAGCACATCATACATATAACAACATTACCCTAGACTATAAGAATATTGAACCAACGAACTGAACTTCACTCAAGTGAATCAAAGTAATATATATAGCATATATATGTCTGTTTAATATATTACGGGTTAAGAGAATGCAGTAATTAACCAAAGCCTAGTTCGTTTACGACGATCAGTATAAAACGAACTTCTTCTCTCTGGGATCCTATTCAATACATAAATGTACTAATGTAACTAATCAGTCAAGACCGACTGTACCGTTGACCCTACAATCGTTCTGATGGGTTGTTCATTTCCATCTAGGTTGTGAACCACAAATATTGTTTCGCAATTAACTGATAGAATGATATTCTGTTCACCCGATGATGACCCATTCTATCTAAGTGCAAAACAACAGAACATAGAATTTGTTAATCCTAACATGATTCTCATTCGTAAAGGGCAAAAGTGTAATATCATCCAAAGCCTAAGGAGGCTATCGAGGCCGTGTTAGTCGCCGACGGGACCATAACCGAGCCTAAGAAGGCTATCGAGGCCGTGTGCCTTGAAGCGATTGGAATTTTCCAACTTAACGCGTTTCGATGTACTGCACACGTGTTCGACCCTCGTCCGACCGTTGGAGCCGAACCATCGAATGCGTGCCCATGCCCCGAGTCTGAGTCGAACCACAGAGTGCGTGCCCGTGCACCGAGTTTGTCCGATCTACCGTCAACGCATCGTTTTCCGTTAGCCGTGGTCCAAGCACGCCCATGTGCCAGTGACCGTGGCACCTTTCAAATCTCGTGCGTCGGCAAAGCCGTGTCAGTCGTGCTCGTACAGGCCCCGAGTTGCCATGTCGACCGAATCACGGTCAAGTCGAGCTGCACATAGTCAAGCGAATGATTGACCGGCTCTGAGTGAGCCGTCAATCCAGTTCAGTCGAACCAGTACGGGCAGTCCGGACGGTTCGAAGAGAATTTCAGTTCAGCCGAATCAGTCCAGGCAGTTCGGACGTTTCGGTAGTTCAGTTCGGAACATCGGTTTGAGCGTGAACCGAGAATTCAGTCTTTCCGAAGCAGACAAATAAGATCCAGTCAGATCAGATCCATTCAGGTTAGACCCAATCAGATTTGATTCCAGTCAGAATGTAGTCCAGACTTAGAAATATTTCGAGAACTCAAGTATGCCTCAAGGACAATAATATTTTCAAAATCAGCTCGTAAATTCCTTAAATGATTTTCAAAACCCAGTGAGCGAACCTAGACAGACCAGATAATAAAATTTGAGTTTTTATTCTGAGCCCATTGCTTAGAATATTTCGCTTGATATTTTGTAGCTTGAGGAGAGTCGAGTCTCCACTTGCTACCAATCAGTTCAGCATTTGCATTCGCCAGTATCCAGGTGGGGACCTCTGTACTGTGTATCTCATTGCTTTTAGTTGCTTATCCTGTCTGAAGTCTATATGTGATTAAATTGATGGATCGAGACGGATGGGTGATCCTGTCTTGGTCAAGAATTCTAGTTATGACTTTGACGTGTGGTGATTAGAGCTCGTCTTAAGTCTAGCGTCCAGATGGGGTGATTAGTGTCTTTCCTGTATTTCTGTGGGAAGGGACCCCCAGAGTATGCACATGAGTACCAGATTATCGTTAATTCCATAGTTGCCGATTTATTTATATATATGTTGATTTCATAATTTGCTATTAAATGTGATGAATATTCAGTGTCGGTTCCGGCGGAGCATCGTTGATTCATTTATGCTCACGCCTCCCCACTAACCATTTTTCAGGTGATGGAGTCTAGCGTGGCGCGTGCGCTAGATAGGTGGTAGATGTCATAGGGAGAACATGTTTGAATTATCTGTCTTTTGTTGTTGCATGTTTATGTCTGAACTTATATTTGCTTCCGCATTTTAGACCTGTATTTCAGATTTCAGACCAGTATTTCAGATTTAAGAATTTCAGACTTCATGTGTAATTCCAATAAATTTTCATGGCCTTAATTCTAGAATGAATTTTACTTGGCTCCATGCATAGTAGATTAAAGAGTTAGATTAAAGTTGAGTAGCATCCCGCAGTTAGATTATAGTATTTTCGAAAAAGTTAATGAGAGTTTTCGAAAACTAAATCAGTGTTTTTCCATTTATAGCGCGAAATATTTACTCTGTTTTTAGTAAATTTAGGCGGGATGTTACAAAATTTATTTACGAACATTATATCTTAAACACATAGAGATAAATCGAATAATTATTATTGGAGCCTCAAATGTAATTTGGGCGATAAATGGGGAGTTCAATAATATTTCTTTAGTGGATTAAAATATTATTTAAGTTTGAGAAAAGTGGGTTTGGCCTACAGTTAGGCCCAAATTTGGGAAGCTCATATTTAACACCTCCTTAGGGTCCCTATTGTAGCCTATGAGTACATCACATCTCTTGCGATTTAAGGGACGCCATATGTTCTTCATGATGAAGCTGTCTCATATGTTTCTCTCGCTCTAAGAAATTCGAATTGAGATATCTCTAAGATCGTCGCCCACCAAGACGAACCGAGAATATGTCAGGTCATACAACATAAATCCGAGGTAAACTGAGGTATATATATATATTCACCCCCGTAAATATGTAGGAGCCGTCGGTGATCGAACCCCGGCCCCCGGTGACAAGTCCTGCACCTTCGACGGCAACCAAGCATCCCGACATAGCTCAGTCGTGCCTCTAGCCGCACAGAACGCGCAACCTGCTTTCAAGAGTGCGCACAAAACGCTAACGACGAGCGTCCCAGGCGTTCCCTGTGAATCACGCAAGCGGTGTCCCAACAAAGAATCCTCACTGGCGGCATCCCAGCGAAGCATCCGCGTAGATGCGTCTCAACGACGTTCCAGCACGACAGCACGCAACAACACCTGCATCACGTGTCCCAGGCATTCCAGCATGCAGCAGCATATAAACGTGGCCCTAACAACGTCCCAGTGCATCCGTCTGCAAGCAGACCCTAGCAAACTCCAGCACCAGTGTACCCCAGCTGCACCTGGTGACCTGACAGCAACCCAAGAGACCCGACATCAATGACACGGCTTGTCCGGCAGCCTCCGTGCGACGTGATGCAACCGAAATCAGTTTGACGAGGGGCCAAAGCAATATGACACACGAATTAGATACCGAGAAGCGCGACGAGACTTAGACGATATCCATCAATGAAAATCATAAACGTCTCACAGTTGGTAAAATTAACGGTATGCATTGAACCATAATTTGTAGTTTCGATGCGCTTAGGATTAGTTTGTAGATAGTCCGTGACTTGCTTAAATTCGACATTCCTAACCCAGCCCCAACACTTTCACCTTCAGCTCCACCAGAACCTTCACTATTGCCCATTCATGCTCTTATGAAGAGAAAAAACCATAAGAAAGGGTCTCAGTGTGAGATTCAATTTGTCATATCTTTGATTCATATAAATTTTTAAAAACAATAGTTGTTTAGTTTTTCGCAATAAAATTCATTCAATTTTAATTGACTAGTGTGAACTCGAAGTAATTTAAGCTATAGGGTTAAGATGATATATTCAGAACAACCATCTTCTTTTACATATGAGGCCTTAAGACGATTCAATTTCTTTTTGTGTTAAGTTATTCAAATTTTACTATAAAATTTAGTTGCTACGACATTTTAAAATTAACTAGTTTATCATAATATAAATTATTTTTTATGAATTTATTTTTTATAAAAAAATATTAAGGGTATTATTTAATATAGGCCTAATTGCCGGAAAAAGCACGACCTTAGAACTTTTTGCAGTTTTAACCAAACTTTTGGAATTTAACACGAAAAACCTAACCTTGTCTAATGTTTGCAACCCGAACCCAAAATGAAACGGCCGTCTCATTTTTGCCACCGTGTCTGTTAGCTTTACCTATGTGGCCAAACGTGCTGCTGACGTGGTAAACCACTATAAACCAGTATAAATACACGCATTTTCCCCCAAATCAAACCCGATTTCCCATTTTCATGACTTTCAGACTTCGAATTTTTTTTTCTCTCTTTGAAAACATTGTGGTCCCATTGTTGTCGAAGCTCACAATCTTGTCGTCGAAACGCACAAATTGCGGTCCCATTGAAGCGATTATGACCGACAGGTATGCCAATCCTTCATTTTTTTAATTTGTTGTCGAAATTTTGAAATTCAAAGTCATCCTTGGAATTCGAAATTTGCTGGGAACATTTTGTTTGTTTGTGAATTTTTAATCTAGTGTTAATTTTATATTAAGTAGTGATCCAGTGTTAATTTTGTTTCGAAAGAATGAAAATTTGTTTGTCAATTTAGGGTTTCTCTTCAAATTAGGGTTTTATTTTTAAATTAGGGTCGATCAAGATTAGGGTTTCGAACAATTTTGAATTGGTTACAGTTTATTTATTGTACATTCATTTTGAAATTAGGGTTTCGAACAATTTCAAATTGCTTACAGTTTTTTGTTATTGTAAATCATATTTAAATTAGGTTATGACAGAATTAGGGTTATGTTAGAATTGAGGCTAATTATAAAATTGTTATTGATTTTTTTTTCTATGTTTAATTAATTACAGAGACAAATTTGCATTGATTGTCAATATTGGAGGTTATTTTGTGAACTGTGGACCTGTTGTGGAGTATATATGTGGTAGTTTAAAGAGTATTTATGGGTTAGATGCTGATAGATTTGGCTACTTTGACCTACAAGAAGAAATTAAGAAGTTGGGAGTTAACAAGTATGAAAAAATTGTGTATAGAATACCTAATGCTGGTGTTGGAGCTGATAGTTTGAGAGATGTAATTGATGATAAAGGGGTTATGGAGATTATTAGTTGTGGTAAGAATAACAAAACTATAGTTCAAATTTATGTGGTTGGTGGTGACATTATTGATGATGAAGCAGATGAGAATGTTGAGGCATCATTCCAGACAAAATCTTCTAGCCAGCAAGATACTGATGATGGGGAAGAGGTGAATGGTTTGAGTCAGGCTGAGGCATCAATTGAGGAAGAGCCTGCAGACCAGTTGGAGGATATTAATGATATTATTGACAACTTCACTTCTATTGAACATGGTGAAGGTGATGCAGAAACTAATAGTGCATGTGTTGGGTTGGGGTCACAAGAGTCATCTGATGATGAAGATTATTTTCCAACTGGGGTGAGTTCATCAGATGATGACCTTTCTGGTGATCATCTTTCTGATGATGATGAATATGTTCAGGCAAGAAAGAACTTAAAGGAGTCTAGGAAAAAAGTTCAAGATTGGGATGATGATGCAGGCTATACACATCCAATGGCCACAGCTGAGATGGACTTTGAAGAAGATGAATTGTTACATAATGCACTAATCTCTAATGAGTCAGATAGTGATAGAGAAATTGATTTGGAAGGGAATTTTGTTAAAAAGAGGACAAGGTTATTGTATGATCCCAAGTGTGATCATAATTCACTTGAGTTCCAGCTTGGCATGAGGTTTGAAACCATTGATCAGTGCAAGAGAGCCGTGAGAAGGGTGGCAATTGTGCAAGGTAGAGATATTCAGAATATGAGGTGTAACAAAAGGCAATTGGAAGCTAGATGTCAAGATGGCTGCCCTTGGAGACTTTATGCCAGTGTGATTGAAAGAGAAGGTAGTGTGGCTATAAAACAACTGCATAGAGATCATGTCTGTCATAGGAATGTGCACACTAGACAACTCACTGCTCAGTGGATTGCTGAAGAGTTTGGTGAAAAATTCAGAAGGAATCCAAACATGACAGTTGCACAATTGGAAGAAGCAATTTCTGAAAAGTTTGCAGTTGTACCTACAAATGGAAGCTTTATAGAGCAAAGTGGAAAGCACTTGAAATGCTTAGAGGTTCTGTCATAGAAAATTACTTCTTTCTGAGAAGTTATATGGCTGAGTTGATGAGGGTGGATAAAGAGGGCAGGTTTGAGTTCTTACTTGGGGAAAATACCACATTAAGAGGCTTTTATGTGGGTTTTAGTGCTCTAAGAAAGGGATTCACCAATGGCTGCAGACCCATCCTTGGATTTGATGGATGTTTTTTGAAAACTTTCTTAGGAGGAGCCTTGTTATGTGCCATTGCCAAAGATGGTAATAATCAAATTTATCCAGTGGCTTGGGCTGTGGTTGAGGCTGAAAATGAAGAGTGGTGGAAGTGGTTTCTCTCAATTTTGTTTGCAGAAGTGGGTATAAGGGATGGCTTAGGATATACTTTCATTTCAGACCAACAAAAGGTTAATATTCTGTGCAATTTTGAGTTTTTGTTCTTAATTTCAAACATTAGCATGTTCTAAATAATTTTTTGTTTGTAGGGTTTGTTGAATGCTCTGAGGGACTTGGCCCCAAATGCTGAGCACAGAAATTGTGATCGACATGTCTACATGAACTGGAAGAAGCAATTCAAGGGGCAAACTTTGAAAAATTTGTTCTGGAGAATTGTTCTAAGCACTCACCTTGGAGACTACAACATTGCTTTGGAGGACTTGAAGGCAGAATGCAAAGAAGCTTATGAAGAATTTATCAAGAAAGATCCTTCAAAGTTTTGTAAGGCTTTTGTCTCTTCTCTTCCTAGGTGTGATATGATAGAAAATAATGTTAGTGAGACTTTCAATGGGTTTATAGTTAAGGGAAGAGGAAGCCACATATGCTTGAATTTGTAAGGACTGAACTAAGGAATAGACAACATGGGAAATTGATGGAGTTGAGTGGACATCCTGACAAGCTTTGTCCTAGAATAAGATCAAAGGTAGAACATAACAAATATTTGTCAAGAGTGTGTGTCACAAAGCCTGCAGTTGGTGATAGGGTTCAGGTTGCTTTAGAAGATGATCAGTTTGTGGTGGATTTGAGGGATAATACATGTACTTGTAGACAATGGGATATAACAGGGATACCTTGTGTGCATGCTTGCTCAACAATACACTTTCAGCATAAAGATCCTGCAGACTTTGTGTTTGAGTATTTCTATACTGAGAGGTACTTGAGTATGTATAGCACCTCATTGGAGCCCATAAATGGAAAAAAAATGTGGCCAGCTGCAGAAGGTTATCCAATCTTACCCCCTCCTTTCAAGAAGATGCCTGGAAGACCTAAGAAAAAAAGAAGAAGGGCTCCTGAGGAAGAAGCCAGAAGTGTAGGCAAGTTGAGAAGGTTTGGGCTGATTATGACATGTCAAAGGTGTTTGCAAAAGGGGCATAACAAGAAATCATGCATCCTGCCTGAAGTTGAGAAACCTGCTAAGGTTTAAATTTCTATGCATTCATAGTACTAAGATTTTGTTATTTATTTCTTTACATTATTTAATCATTGTCATTTTTCTTTGTACAGAAGCCAAATGGAAGGCCCAGAAAGCATACTGCACCCCACACTGTGGTTTAAATTTCTATTCATTCATAGTACTAAGTTTTAGTTATTTATTTCTTTACATTCTTTAATCATGGTAATTTTCTTTGTACAGAACCCAAGAGGAAGGCCCAGACAGCATACTGCACCCCACACTGTGGTTCAACCACCCCAAACTGAGACCATGACAAGCCCACCATCTGAGACAATGACAAGCCCACCAGTTGAGAGGCTGACAAGACAACCAGTTCAGAGGATGACAACCCGGTCTGTTGAGAAGATAAATAATCTGCCGGTTAGGAGGTGTAGTCAACGCTCATCAGTCATACAAAAAGAAAGAGCCTTGGTAGTACTTTTATATGGAAATTTTCTGAAATTGGTACCAATACTAGACAACTCAATTATTTTGTTCATTTGTTTGGCAGGCAAGGAAAGGTTTTGGTATCTTGCAATCTGAGGAAACTGGTAATGTTTACATGAAGGTATGGTTTTTTATAAGAATTCACTATTTCTGAAATATAATATAATATAATATATTTATTGACTAGCATATGGGGTAATTATTGTATAATATAATGCAGTTGTCATCTACAAAAAAGATTCATGTGATTTCAAACACTGCTAGAGAAACATGCCAAAGCAGTGGCACAACCAGAGGGCAAAGCAGTGGGTCAACCACTGGTAGAGGAAGAGGAAGAGGGCAGAGGAGTGGGTCTACCACTGCTAGAGGAAGAGGAAGAGGGCAAAGTAGTGGGTCTACCACTGCTAGAGGAAGAGGAAGAGGGAAAAGTACAGGGGACTTCATATGCACTCAAGAGAGTGAGGCTGGAAATTAAGATGTAGTATTGTTGAACTGATGTGGTATCATTAAACTAATTTTGCTATTTTTGGGGTGTGTTGGTTTTGTGTGTGGAGACTCAGTAGTTTGAACTAATCTTTTGGATGTGTTTTTGAGTTTTGTGGGATCTGGATGTGTTATGGGATATTTATGTGTGTCGTTATGTGAAAATCACTTAAATGAAGTGTTTTGTTCTTTGAATGTGCTCTGTTTATTGAAAAGGAAGTGTTCTTTGGAATTCATGTGATATTATGCCATGTCAATTCTTGTAACATAAATATGTATAGGCTTTCATTTCTTGTAATAATAATATGCACAATAACAGAAATAAGATAATTCTTGTAATAATAATACATTCGTGCAAAAGGTTTTCAATTCCATTACATATATCAACCAAACATAATTCTACCAAAACACAATCACAACAAGAACCATAACAACAACAATCACAATCACAACAAGATCATAGCCATTTTTACCAAACACATCAGTTCATCTTCAGCTAATGGACATACCCATTTCTACCAAACACCATCACAACAACCATAACAACAACAATCAAACCAATCATCAATACATACATTTTCCTTTCAAGGTTTTTCACTTGAGTTAAGGTCTTCTCAAGAACCAAAAGTACTTCAGCATTCTTGTGACCATCAACCTCAAACCCTGTCACTTTGTTTTCAAGAACCATAAGTACTTCAGCATTCTTGTGACCATCAACCTCAAGCCCTGTCATTTTGTTTTCAAGCTCCTCAAGTGAAGACAAACTTACTTATTTCACACCCGACCTATCATTGTGCTGTTTTTCCATGGCCCGTAACTTTTCTTCTAAAGCCTTTTTTTCAGCCTTCAATCTGATGAAGCATGTCCTTTGGAACTCAGGCAATGCGGGATCAATCCAATCAAACAAACCACAATCTTTTACCTGTTCCAAAAAGTTTGGTTAAAAACCATATGTGTATCCACCTATTCTGAACAAAATTGCCGTAAAATTGCAGAACAAAATACAATAATAAACTACCTTTCTATTTGGACACTTGTAGAACCTCCGACATGGATTGTCGTCAGTGCCAGAGGTGAAAACATCGGCCTCATCCAAACAGCCGCACAGCCTCTGCACGGGGATATTGGATGAAGCGCTATGTTGCGAATTAGGGCTTGTACGAGACGCGTACGACATTTTCAGAGGATGAAGCTGCGAAATTAGGGCAACAATTTGGGGAAGAACACGGATCGAAGCTGCGAAATCGTGAAAAACACGATCGGAAATTAGGGTTCAATGGATGTTGATACTTGTACGACTAAATTGGGATGAAGCTACTGGATTTTGGGGAAGAACACGATAGAGTGATGAAGCTGCTGGATTTTGGGAAAAAATTTTCGAAATTAGGGTTTGATTTTGAGGAAGAACATGAGGTCGGGTTTGATTTGGGGGAAAATGCGTGTATTTATACTGGTTTATAGTGGTTTACCACATCAGCAGCACGTTTGGCCACATAGGTAAAGCTAACGGACACGGTGGCAAAAATGAGACGGCCGTTTCATTTTGAATTCGGGTTGCAAACATTAGACAAGGTTAGGTTTTTCGTGCTAAATTCCAAAAGTTTGGTTAAAACTGCAAAAAGTTCTAAGGTCGTGCTTTTTCCGGCAATTAGGCCTTTAATATATTCGCCCAGTATATCATAATTTTCTGGGAAATTCCATATTTTGTAATTTTATCAATTTAAGGCTTCAGTTTTGTTCTCTCTCAACAGAAAATTTACATTTTATGTTATTCTCAATTAAAGAACTACGTTTTTCGTTAACTTCTTATTGTAAGACCCAACTAACTTTACTTTTTACATAAGTATGTGAACCAACTATTATGTGAACGAAAATATTATTATTTTTTTTTTTGTATTTTTATTTTAAATACTTATAATAAAAAATAATATATATTTTTGGTAAAATACATTAGTAAGATAATGATACTATATAACAAGTATGCAAAAGTTTAATAATGATTATTTTTAAAAATTGTTAATTTAAAAAATATGCAATTGAATTATTTTTATTAATACTATAAATATGTAATAAAACATAAAATAATATTTAAATAATGTTTCCTTCATTTTAACACTTCGGGATTTAAACTTTTATTTGTGGACGAAAAAGTTGATACCATAGTTCATTACATANAAGATCCAAAAGATCCTTTTTTTTTGCCGAAACGATAGAAAGTTTTATAAATCAAAATGCACAAATGTGCGAATACACAGCAGCCAACAACTGAAAAAGTGGGAGGACAGGTCAGAAGCCTGCCTAGAATCCCGACTAGCAACGCTCGAATAAAAAACACACGCACAACTAAACTAACCAACAACACAAACAACTAGAACAACTACTAGGACTCTAACAGGGTAATACCCGAGTGTCGGACCCCAACGGAGTAATAAGTTTGACACGCGGGCTCACAGGGGCCAACGGCCCAAACCAAAAACACAAAACACAAACAACACAAGACAAACACAAACACATATACTTCAAACAAAAAACAAGAACACAAATAACTAAAAAAACTAAAACTAAAAGCCCTTCCCCGACAAACGAACTAGCCCAAACCAACAGTGTCCGATCGACACAAGACAAATCCAGGCCAAGCCACTGCTACCGAAACTGCAATCAAGCCTATACAGTAGAAGAAACTAAGGCCCGAACCAATCTCCGAATCGACCCGTCTACAACCGAGCGAACAAACACCAGCCCCCACCCTAGCCCCACCCGAACCCGTCTAACACCACTAGCGGAGCTCGGGAGAGCCAGGGCCCCCGCCGCCTAACACCACTAGCCGACAGGGGAGGGAGGGAGAGGCGCATTCCGCTACTCCGGCAACCACAACGAAGGACACGCTCCACCAAGACGCTGCCAAAGCCCCACCTCACAAAAAGACCACACACCTCGCCACCGCAAACCGCCGGCAACTGGAGGCCGCACTCCACCCGCAGCTCCACCGGAACAGGCGATGCCAATCGGGAGGGACTCGTAGTTCGTAGACCAGAAACAGATCGCCACGGCGACGACGACCACCGGAGGACCTGCCGGCAACCGAATCGCTGACCATCCTCCGCCTAGGATCGAGCAACCTTCTGGAGCCACAGACCGACCAAATATCTTTCAAATTCACTTATCAAAATTTTACAATAATCACTATTAACTTTTGCATAAATATAATTTACATAGATTCATTTTCTTATTAAGAAAATTTTACTATATATATTTATTATTTTTTTTATTATAAGTATGTAAAATATAAATTGGTAAAAAACAAATAAAATTAAAAAAAAATTGTTCACATAACTATATCATAAATTAAAGGTAATTGGTTCACATATTTATGTAAAAAAGGAGAAGTTAGTTGAACCTTACCATGAACAGTTAACTAAAAATTGAATCTTAGATTGAGAATAATCTAAAATGTGAGTCTTTTATCAAGAAATAATGAAATCCACGCATAAAATTGAAATAATTTAAAAAAGTTAGGCCTTATAATTGAATTTCCCAGTAATTTTCAAGACTAACTTTATTACATTAATACAAGCCATGTATATTTATTTGTAAAGCAACTAAAAATATATATTTTATTTGCAAACATACAAAAAAATTAATGTGCAAGTTAATTTCATGATAATTTTGGTAACAATAGTTGTTTAAGGAAGTTATTATCGATTACATAAAAATTGATCCCACAAATCAAGGTAACAACTCCAGCTGTGATTCCTCTTCTCCCATATGTTAATTTGTCCCTTTAATTCCATTAGAAGGTCCAACTTTTTGTAATTGTATCAATTTAAGGCTTGAGTTTTGTTCTTTCTGAATAAAAGATTTACATTTTAAGCTATTCTCAATCAAAGACCTACTTTTTTAGTTAACTTCTTATTGTAAGACCCAACTAACTTTACTTTTTCCATAAGTATGTGAACCAACTATTATGTGAAAAAAATTATTATTATTATTATTTTTTCTTGTATTTTTATTTTAAATACTTATAATAAAAAATAATAAATACCTTTAGTAAAATACATTAATAAGAAAATGAAACTATATAAATTAGAATTATGCAAAAGTTTAATAATGATTATTTTTAAAAATTGATAATTTGAAAAATATGCAATTGAATTATTTTTATTAATACATAAAATAATATTTAAATAGTGTTTCCTTCATTTTAATATTTTAGGATTTAAACTTTTCTTTGTAGATGCAAAAGTTGATACCATAGTACATATTTAGATTATTAATAAAAATGAAATTTTCATTACATATCTTTCAAATTCACTTATCAAATTTTTAAAATAATCATTAATCATTATTAACTTTTGCATAAATATAATTTATATAGATTCATTTTCTTGTTAAGAAAATTTTACTAAAGATATTTATTATTTTTTATTATAAGTATGTAAAATATAAATTGTAAAAAAAAAATTAAAAAAAATATTTTGTTCACATAACTATATCATAAATGAAAGGTAATAGGTTCACATATTTATGTAAAAAAACTAAAGTTAGTCGAAACTTACCATGAAAAGGTTAATAATAAGTGAGCCTTAAATTGAGAATAATCTAAAATGTGAGTCTTTTATCGAAAAATAATAAAATTCAAGCATATAATTGATATAATTTCAAAAAGTTGGACCTTATAATTGAATTTCCCAGTATTTTTCAATACTGGCCTCATAAAATTGAGAACATTACCTAGTGCACCTTACATTACTAACTTTATTACATTAATACAAGCCATGTAATTTATTTGCAAAGCAACTAAAAATATATATTTTATTTGCAAACATACCAGAAAATTAATGTACAAGTTAATTTCACGATAAATTTGGTAACAACAGTTGTTTAAGGTAGTTATTATCAATTAAACACAAACTGATCTCACAAATCAAGGGAACAACTCTAACAGTGATTCTCCTCCTCCTCCTCCTTCTTCTTCTTCTTCTATTTTTTTATACGTGTTCTTCTTCTTCTTCTTCTTCTTCTTCTTCTTTTTCTTCTTCTTTTCCCCAAAGCTTGGTAATGACAGTCGGCTGCGGAGGGCCGAGGGATTCCACTCGCCTCTCGGCTGGGTGGAGTAGCATGGTAAACGACGAATTCGGCGGCTGAAGCGGACGGATAAGATCGTGCGGCGGTTCCTTCTGGATTGTGAGTGGTGGAGGTCGTTGAATATATACTGACAATAATATATACCGCCAATTCAAAACACCCCAGAACTGAAAATCCCACAATCTGCGCAATTTAAGGAGAGTTACCTGAAAGTCCCATAATCTAGGGGAGGCGGTTAAATTAAACTTTATTCAATAACTGAAAATCTCTTTATCTGGTGCATATTTGTAATTAATTGGCATAAAGTTGGTAAATATACATGGTAAAATTCTAATTTTTTTCTAAATCAAGTGGTATACATAACAATTCCCAAATTGATTATCCCCTAGTGTCTTGGGCCTAATAAAATCGTTTTATGATTCAAATACATTTGCCCACAATAAGTTTCTAAACTTTCACTAATTTAAATGCGACTAGTACGTGGCCCGTGCGATGCACGGGAAAATAATATTTTGATTGTATTATAAATTAAATAAATAAATAACATTAATCATGATTTACCCATTATTTATAAATTAAACCGGGTTGGACACAGTCCGACCGGATGGACCGAGAACCGGTTTATAACCGATTTAGTGCGCTTGAATAAAATATTTGCTATTGAATCCGCCAACACCAGTATGTTGGACTGGTAAGATCGATACGATTTTCTAAACAAATTTTGTTACATGAAAAATTATTTTAAATAAAATTACATATTTAAATAAAATAGAGATTTATAAATTGTTTATCAATTAGTTTAAACATTTGAATTTATAAATTGTTTAGATATTTAAGTAACACTTTCTATTTAAATTTATTACAAATAGTACTATATAAATATATATTAAAGTATTATGTATTAAAATCTGAACAACCACAAGACGGTGCGATTTTGAAAACCTTATATTTACCGTACATTAATAAAAATGATAATGAAATAAATATTTTGTTCACATAAATAATAATAAAATGATATATTAAATATTCATAAATCATTAATCATGTTGTCATAAAAGTATTGTTAATATGATTATTTGAAGTTTGGACGACATTACATTTACGTAATAAAGTATTTTCAATATTAAAATTTATATTTAGGTTCAATAATCAATTTGGTCTTGTCAAACTGATACATAACTTAATTACCTCGGACCAACCAAGTTATGTCAAGTTTTTTGACTATTTTAAATATCACCTAAAAGTAATTCAATCAAAGTGGACAGTACCCTAATTCAATCACCCGATTGATCCAAAGTAATTTCCTTATTTTCTTTAAATATAATATTTTATTTTATGATTCATATGTCTACACCAAATGATAGTATATTAAGATTATAAATTATATATCCAAAGATGAACTATTTATTTTTATTTTATGCATATTAATAAAAAATAAACATAGTAATTTTAAAAAAATTAAGATTAATTAATTGGGTATGCAATTTAAAAAATATTTTTAGCGTTCAATATATATATCTATATATATATATTTAACATGATTGAATTTTTGGATTAGAATATATATATTTAAAATAATTTTATTATTAAAAGTCAAAAAGAAAAGATGCCATAAAGATTACAACTTTAAAAAGTTTGTAACCATTAATTTATGAACCCTCCGATTTTAAATGACTTATAATTTTTGAAACATGATATGTGCATTTAAAACCCATTAATTTAGGAACCATCCAATTTTTTGATAATGAATTAAAATTAAAATGTAAAATGTAAAAGTTGCTGAAAATAGTATATAATAAATGTGGTTGACTTTTTCTTACTATTATTTATGGTAAATGTTAATTCTTATTATATATATATATATAGATTTGAAAATCTGTCGTAATATCTATATGAAACCTTACCACAAAACATTTTTGAACTAACACAATCTACTTTAATGATTTCTTCTAAAAATCTGATATAGGGAAATGTACTCTTTATTTGAATTATTTATTTATTTAAAAATAAACAAAAATAACTGGACAAAAATAAAAAAAAAAAAAAACAGGGTGGAAATAAATCAAACACACGTATTCTGAAAATACGTTTTTAATTATAAAACGTATTTTCAAAATACGTTTTAAAAGTAAACCGTATTCCTGAAATACGGTTTCAGTTAATATGATTAATTAAGATAATTACCTTGATAAAAAACGTATACCGCAAATACGTTTTTATTTATAAAAAATTAATACGTATTTCCGAAATACGTTTTATATTTAAAATTAATTTTATAATTATTTTCGAGTTATAAAACGTATTTTCACAATACGTATTTTAAATGAAATGAATTTTTAGAATTTTGAAAATACAATTTTGATGGACAAAATAATATAAAACATAAAACGTACTCCCGAAATACGTTTTTTGTACAATTTTTCCCCCAAATTCAATTTTGCCCCAATTCAATTTTGCCCTAAATTGATTCATATAAAAACGTATTCTGAAAATACGTTTTATAAACAAAAAAATATAAAACGTATTCCCAGAATACGTTTTAAACTGCAGAAAAAACAAAATTTTTGAATCCATTTGAAGAAACCAACCTGTTCACCCAACATACACATATCAATCAACCCAACATACACATATCAATCAACCCAACATACACATATCAATCAACCCAACATATAAAAGAAGATGAAAAACAATAATTTATAAAAGAAACACTATATACAAAAAGATCAAAATACGGTTTACACACGAATATGTCCACAAATTTCAATACATAAGACACAAACTAACTACGAAGATGAAGGAGTGAATGGTTGCCTAGGTTTGCGCAGTCGATCCCCCCTCCGGAGCTCTACGAGAGGCGTGTCATCATCAAAATCGTCCGCTTCAACTGAGTAATGCATTTAGTAAAAAAAATCACAAACTCGACTTTAGGAAAGAAAAAATAAAAAAAGACCAAAAAATAATATTTTGTTAAGTAAATAGATCTTACATTGTTCAAGGCCGAGGTTCTGAGATTGGAGGTGCTGGGGGGAGGGTGGATTGGTTGGGCGTTGTTCATTTTCGCGGTCACGGGCCCGAGGTCTTCTACCCCCACCAATGTTGGCAGCGGGTCGATGCCTCGCGGTGTGGGACTGTGTCCTCTGGGATGGAATGTAGTCGTCCTGGGATAGAACTTGACTTGACGACGCCCCTTGTGTAAGACCTCGGCCTCCAACAGTCAGGGAAGTGTATGCAAAGTTGAAGGACTGTTGGAATGCGGATTGTGCCTCTGGAGGGAATGTAGGCATTAAGTGTTGAATACTCGATAAGGAGTTATAAACCCCCTCCAGGCCAGAAGTCTGAAAATAAAATTCAAAGTAATTAGTATGAAACAACATAAATAAAAAAAAATAATAATAATAATAATAATAATAATAATAAAACGACAAATTATTATGAACACTTACCTCGCACCCTAACCGCTCGGCAAATGGCTGATAGCCGCCGGATTGTTGGAACACAGCGTAATTGCCAGGGTTACTGATGAGTCTCACAGTCCTACTGTGAAACCAATCGAGGTAACCCTGCTCTGGCTGCAGGAAATCATACGCAGGGGCAATTGGGATGAGATGTAGTTCTCTTTCATCGGCCCATGCCTTCGTAAGCGGTGAATGAAAGAGGGCCCAATCACCGAATGCCCGCCCAGTCATTCCTTGGCCGGCGTGGTGTCTGGCCCAGTCTTGCTCACCCGTAATGATTGGATTTTGGGGGATGGACTGACGACACCCAAATTGCCGCATGACCCTATCAGGCAAGTGTAGCTCACGGCTGCTCCAACAAAACATCCACCCCCGGTACAGCCAAAATTGTTTATCTTCTGTACACTCACTCGGGAGA